ATAGTACTATACTGCCTTTAACTTTTATGAACGACCGGGTGTTTAAGGTTAGCCATTTGTCATATTATTTGTCTGCATAGTAAAAAAAAAACGTGTTTTAATATTTACGTGTTTTTTTCTCTCTTTTATTTAGGGCCCCTTTGTAACATCATGCTACAGGTCCCGCACTCGCTTCATCCGGCACTGCCTTTGTCCCCTACCTTGAGAGCTCTCTCGCTCTCGAGCAAGGGGGTCGGAAAGCAAAACAACAAGAAGTGCCGTTTCTGTCTTTTTCGAATTCGGTATATAAATATGAAAACAAATCAGTATTTCAAGAGCACGTGGTGAATACGAGACGGTGGTCCTTAGTAAATCACTGTCACGAAACAGTCCTTAAAAATCTTGATTTGAAGCTTTCGTGACTGCAGGAATCCATACTCTTTGGTTCTTTCGGTAGAGTGACGTAGGTAGAAAAATAAAATAAAACAAAAAATAATATATCACGACGTTTCGAACGCAACACAAGCGGTCGTCCTCAGGCGGAAAAAAATAATACAGCAGTGGAACTGCTGAACCAGTGAGAGAGCTGTTACAACAACAAGAGGTTATTTATGTGGCGATGGGCAAGCAAGCGGGGTCTGAGCTGGAAAGGAATTCCATCCCCGGACGCAAGCACGTCAGTTGTGTTAATGGGGGAGATTAGGGAGAGAGATTAGGGTGAGAGATTACCATGAAATGAGCTTCCGTCGCCACATAAGAGTATCATCCCCGCATATGCGAACAACTTCAGTGTTAATGGGAGATTAGCACTATGTTGATGGGAGAGATTAGGCAGAGAGATTAGGGGGATTAGCAGGTTAATGTCATGTCTATGTGTAACAAGCTGTGGCGCTGCCAACTGCGCTGTGAGAGGCAAGCGCGTCCTGCAAGAGAACCACCACAACGGTGGTCGCGTCAGTGAGACACAAAGCCCTAACAGGGCAATGCAACTCAGAGAGTCGGAGATAACAGCCAAACGGCAGGGAAGAATGGAATCATCACAGCAAGTTACGACTTTGCTTGGTTAATAACGTCCTTCCAATGATTGCTCAGCTTTGGACCCATCTTCTCGGTTGGAATTGTCTCCGTGTTTATAAATCTGGATGGCTTAATGGACAAATCTTTGATGGTAGCCCGAAGGTTTGCAGAGTACCTTGGTCTCGGAAAAGAACAATATCGTGCGAGCCCACTGCGTTATAACAATGGTCAGCCACTGCAGAGGCATTGGTTCTGCCGTGTTTAAAATCTGCCTTGTGTTCGCGAACACGGTTCGAGGCATGTCGTTTCGTTTTCCCAATGTAACTGCTGCTGTAGACACAACTGAGTTTGTAGACACCAGGGTATTGCATGTCAGAAATTACATCCTTCACAGATGGGATCAAATCAAGGATTTTGTGTACTGTATTGGATCGGACCTGGATCTTGTGTTTGTTTAAGACTTTGGAAATATTTTTGGTAACACCTGCTATGTATGGCAAGGTGATGGTTTTGATTGGGCCCTCAGATGGTTGTCTCCCCATGGTTGGGGATACAGCTTTGCAGATTGTGCGGTCTGAGTATCCATTCACCTTCAGGGCTTGGTGTACGTGCTCCAGTTCACTGGCAAGGTGGCGCTGGTCGGAGATGCAGCGGGCCCTATGGTGCAGTGTTTTGATGAGGGAGTTCTTATGGGCCGGATGGTGGTGGGAGTCAGGCTTTAGATAGGAATCCGTGTGGGTGGCTTTCCTGTAGACGGAATGTCCCAATGAGCCATCAGGCCTCTTCTCGATCAAAACATCCAGGAATGGTAGCTTGCAATCATTTTCCACTTCCATGGTGAATTTGTTGAATGGGTGTATGGAATTGATGTGGTTGAAAAACTGGTTTAGTGCTGGCTGGCCTTGTGGCCAGATGACGAAAGTGTCATCTACGTATTTCTTCCACAGGGAATGAAGTAGGGTGGATGTCAGGATGGCATCTGTTTCAAATTTCTCCATTAAAACATTCGCTACCACCGGTGATAAGGGAGAACCTATAGGGGTACCTTCATTTTGTTTGTAGAATGTGCCATTCCAGATGAAGTAAGTGTTGGTAAGGCAGTGCCTCACCAAAGTTGGTACATCAGCATTCAGTCCCTGTTCGACCAAGTCTTCAATAATTGCTATGGTGTCAGGTACAGATACCTTGGTGAACAGAGAGACTACATCGAAGCTGACAAGAAAATCATCTGGAGACAGTGAAATGTCCTTGAAGACTTATTTTTCTACCTCCTTGACTTTACCGAAAGAACCAAAGAGTATAGTCCTTAAAGAGTCGCACGCGGCTCCAGTCGCAGGTTGCTGACCCCTGTTCATGGTGAACTGGACTCCCGTGGTGAACTGGACTCACGTGGTGAACTGGACTAACGTGATGAACTGGACTCCCGTGGTGAACTGGACTCACGTGGTGAACTGGACTCACATGGTGAACTGGACTCCCATGGTGAACTGGACTCCCGTGGTGAACTGGACTCCCGTGGTGAACTGGACTCCCGTGGTGAACTGGACTCACGTGGTGAACTGGACTAACGTGATGAACTGGACTCACGTGATGAACTGAACTCACATGGTGAACTGGACTCGCATGGTGAACTGGACTCCCGTGGTGAACTGGACTCACGTGGTGAACTGGACTCCCGTGGTGAACTGAACTCACATGGTGAACTGGACTCCCGTGGTGAACTGGACTCCCGTGGTGAACTGGACTCCCGTGGTGAACTGGACTCACGTGGTGAACTGGACTAACGTGATGAACTGGACTCACGTGATGAACTGAACTCACATGGTGAACTGAACTCGCATGGTGAACTGGACTCCCGTGGTGAACTGGACTCACGTGGTGAACTGGACTCCCGTGGTGAACTGAACTCACATGGTGAACTGGACTCCCGTGGTGAACTGGACTCCCGTGGTGAACTGGACTCCCGTGGTGAACTGGACTCCCGTGGTGAACTGGACTCACGTGGTGAACTGGACTCCCGTGGTGAACTGGACTCCCGTGGTGAACTGGACTCCCGGTGAACTGGACTCACGTGGTGAACTGGACTCCCATGGTGAACTAGACTCCCATGGTGAACTGGACTCCCATGGTGAACTGGACTCCCATGGTGAACTGGACTCCCATGGTGAACTGGACTCACGTGGTGAACTAGACTCGAGAGCCGCAGTTTGCCGGCTCCTGCTTTGGAGGGCGCCACGGTGGCTATGAGATGTTAACTACCTCGCCTGGTATACAGGAGGTCGTGGGTTCGATCCCGACCCTGACGCCTGCTGTGTATTTTGCGTGTCTCTTTTTCTCTGTCCCCGTAGTCGCGTGGATTTTTTCCCCTCCACATTTAGAATCAACATCACCACCACGCGTTTCGAGAATATTCGGCAGCTCTCAATTTCCACGCGGTGATAAGCCACTTCGGTGAGCGATCATTTGTGGCCAGGTCGCTTCTGAAAGAAAAAAAAAGCTACATAGCTCAGTGGGCTTTACTCAGTATATATTTTAAAAAATGTGTTGAGTTTTTAGTCATTGTGTTTCATCCAAGTTTGCAAGCCACGTGATGGCTATACGATGGGCGAGGGTGAATAGATTGTTGCCGATACTGTTGAATATGCGAATTTGCTCCTCGTGGTATATAGCGCGTTGCCTACGCCATGGTTATTGGCCCGGTTTGATCCCCGGCCACGACCTAAGGGGCCATCCATTGAGTCCGTACGCATGGAGGGGGGAGGGGGGGTTAACCCAAATGCGTTCGCTTGCGTATGGGGGGGGGGTCTACTGACAATGCACGCATAGGAAACGGGGGGGGGGGGGTGAAGCCTCGATAATAATTTGTCTACATTGGCCTTTAAATGAGTTAGATAGTTCGGCGGTGGACTATCTGTTTGCTTAAACGCGTTAATATTATTAATCCTTCATCGTTTCTGCGTGGATTAAATATCGGCCGTTCTATATGATTCGGGGGGGGGGGGGGGGTGGGGGGTGCGTCAGGCGTTCGTACGCCGCTGGGGTAGGGGGCTGTAAAAAGTCCGCGTGCGTACAGGGAGGGGTGTAGGGGTCGAGTTTTGACAGCGGTGGGCAGAGTTGTTGCGATGGGGTTTGATCTTATAAGCGGAGACCGCACGACACGAACCGGTTTCAAAAAACCCCGATAACAGGGGGTCTCCTCCCCCCCCACCCCGGCACACTTAGAAACGTCTGAAGCAATAAAACGCAAGACTCTTGTTAAAAGTGCCGTGGTTGCTTCGTGCTTGAAGGCAGCACTGCATTCGGTTCGATCTCCAGGCGCGGCACGATTGTAAATACAAGCGGGCGGATTTCTCGATTGACACTGCGTCTGTCCCAGCAGCAGCAGCAGCATCAGTACCGCACACGTCTTGGACTGTAGGGGCAAGTGCTGTTAGCGAGAACCTATGAAGGCCGGCACGGCACACGAGGGGGTGGGTGGCCAGCACCACGCCCGGCCGCCTTTGTCTCCCCGGTGGCGATGTTTACACACCGCACCGGGTACTCATTTGAGGTTGAGTCGACCTAGGGGAAGGCCCAAGACCGGTTCAGATAATCGTCACTGTCGGTGTTGGCCGTGAGCGGGAATCGAACCTGGGTCGCCAGGTTCGTAGCGCAGCGCGGCGCTAACCGCTACACCACCGCTCCCCGCGCCTGCAGATCGAACGGAATGCAAAGATAACAAACACACAACACGCGCATCCACGGTCATTGACGACGCATCTTACTTTGCGCGTGATGCAAACCGGTAACCGGTAATTTTTTTGCTTGTTGCCCATTTGCTGTGACCGGTTGAGTGAAGGAGATTTAGAACAAAAACAGGTTTAACGACCCTTAATTGAAAAGTTTGCAAATGTGCTGTGGGAGAAGCCTTCCACGTACACAGTGCAGAGTCAACAAAGCAATTTTAAGAGGGGGGGGGGGGGGTGGAGGAAAGGATTATATAAAAAACTGTTGACTCCGAACTTCAAACCGCGCCAGCTCCACAGCGCTGTGAGCCTGAAAACACTTTCCCAATCCTGGACGTCCATTCCCTCCCTCCTCTCTCCTCCTCCTCCCCCGCCACCACCACCACCAGACCAAGCACAGGAAACGGCACATTTTTCTATCCAAAGTAAAATCCAACCCATTTCTCTGCCTCCCAATCTCCCGCTTCCCTCTCCCCTCCCCTCCTCTTCCTCAGCTCGAGTCCAGACGCTCTCCTCAACATCTGCCACGTAGCGAGCACAAGGAACCCCTCGTCCATACATCATCCCCCTCGTCCATACATCCCCATCCCTCCTCGTCCATACATCCCCATCCCCCTCGTCCATACATCCACCCCCCTCGTCCATACATCCACCCCCCTCGTCCATACATCCCCATCCCTCCTCGTCCATACATCATCCCTCCTCGTTCATACATCCATCCCCCTCGTCCATACATCCATCCCCCTCGTCCATACATCATCCCTCCTCGTTCATACATCCATCCCCCTCGTCCATACATCATCCTTCCTCGTCCATACATCCATCCCCCTCGTCCATACATCATCCCTCCTCGTCCATACATCCATCCCTCCTCGTCCATACATCCATCCCCCTTGTCCATACATCATCCCTCCTCGTCCATACATCCATCCCCCTCGTCCATACATCCATCCCTCCTCGTCCATACATCCATCCCTCCTCGTCCATACATCCATCCCCCTCGTCCATACATTATCCCTCCTCGTCCATACATCCATCCCCCTCGTCCATACATCCATCCCCCCTCGTCCATACATCCATCCCCCTCGTCCATACATCCATTCCTCCTCGCCCCCCCCCACACTCTCTGTGGTCCGAAGGGCAGCCGTGTCGCCTCCAGCCCAAGGGACTCGTGGCCCCGGGTGAGTGACGGCGAGAATGTGATGCTGTGTGTGTGTGTTGCTGTGTGTTGCTGTGTGTGTGTGTTTGTTGCTGTGTGTGTGTGTTGCTGTGTGTGTGTTGCTGTGTGTGTGTATATTTGTTGCTGTGTGTGTTTGTTGCTGTGTGTGTTTGTTGCTGTGTGTGTGTGTTGCTGTGTGTGTGTGTGTGTTGCTGTGTGTGTGTGTTGCTGTGTGTGTGTGTTGCTGTGTGTGTGTTTGTTGCTGTGTGTGTGTTTGTTGCTGTGTGTGTGTGTGTTGCTGTGTGTGTGTTTGTTGCTGTGTGTGTGTGTGTGTTGCTGTGTGTGTTGCTGTGTGTGTTTGTTGCTGTGTGTGTGTTTGTTGCTGTGTGTGTGTGTTTGTTGCTGTGTGTGTGTGTGTTGCTGTGTGTGTGTGTTTGTTGCTGTGTGTGTGTGTTGCTGTGTGTGTGTGTTGCTGTGTGTGTTGCTGTGTGTGTGTGTTTGTTGCTGTGTGTGTGTGTGTTGCTGTGTGTGTTGCTGTGTGTGTGTATTTGTTGCTGTGTGTATTTGTTGCTGTGTGTGTTTGTTGCTGTGTGTGTTTGTTGCTGTGTGTGTGTGTTGCTGTGTGTGTGTGTGTTTGTTGCTGTGTGTGTGTGTGTTTGTTGCTGTGTGTGTGTGTTTGTTGCTGTGTGTGTGTGTGTTTGTTGCTGTGTGTGTTGCTGTGTGTGTTGCTGTGTGTGTGTGTGTTGCTGTGTGTGTGTGTTTGTTGCTGTGTGTGTTTGTTGCTGTGTGTGTTGCTGTGTGTGTGTGTTTGTTGCTGTGTGTGTGTGTGTTGCTGTGTGTGTTTGTTGCTGTGTTTGTTGCTGTGTGTGTGTTTGTTGCTGTGTGTGTGTGTTTGTTGCTGTGTGTGTGTGTTTGTTGCGGTGTGTGTGTGTTTGTTGCTGTGTGTGTGTTTGTTGCTGTGTGTGTTTGTTGCTGTGTGTGTGTGTTTGTTGCTGTGTGTGTGTTTGTTGCTGTGTGTTTGTGTTTGTTGCTGTGTGTGTGTGTTTGTTGTTGTGTGTGTTTGTTGCTGTGTGTGTTTGTTGCTGTGTGTGTTTGTTGCTGTGTGTGTTTGTTGCTGTGTGTGTGAGGTGCTGTGTGTGTGTGCGAGGTGCTTTGTGTGCGAGGTGCTTTGTGTGTGTGGTGCTGTGTGTGTGTGTGTGAGAGGTGCTGTGTGTGTGTGAGGTGCTGTGTGTGTGTGAGGTGCTGTGTGTGCGAGGTGCTGTGTGTGTGTGCGTGGTGCTGTGTGTGTGTGCGTGGTGCTGTGTGTGTGGAAAAACAACCCCCTACCTCCTCACGGTGCCGGACGGGCAACTCTGTCGTGGACAGTCATGTGGGGAGACCCTCTCCCCTCATGGCGTCTGTGACCACCACAGTGGCTAAACGGGGGCTCTGGACGGTTGCGAGGGGCTGGTAACCCCTCCACCTTCAAAAAATTACCACGAAACCACGACTTAAATAGCTAACTAATAAGCTTGTGCCGGAGGCCGCGGGGAGTCAGGCGTCTATGACTTCTCCTGGCCAAACCCCAATTGGCGAAGCCAGGAGATTGAATATCTACCCTCGGGGCTCCTCCAGAAACATCGAAAAGCGACTTCGTGTGGCCACGTGGAATGTTCGAATGCTCACTGCGGAGGAGAGGCTGCCACTCCTCTGTCGGGAGCTGGACCGGTACCGCCTGGATCTCTGTGGCATTCAGGAGGTCTGGTGGACCGGTTCTGGCTCCTGCCACCATGAGGGGTGGACAGTCCTCTACTCAGGGCAGCAGACTGCCAAACAACAGGGTGTGGCTTTTCTTTTTAACAAAAGAATGAAGGGTGCGCGGGAGCGTGGCGGTGAGGTGTGGGAAGCTGTATGCCCCAGGCTACTTTGGGCTCGCCTTCCCATCAACCGGAGGCAAGGAGTGTTGGTCGTGGTTACTTATGCCCCCACCGAAGACGAACATCTGTGGAGGGATACAGGCAAAGCCGATGAGTCAGATGCCTTCTATGACCTCCTTTCACAGATGCTGGCTAAAGTGGCCCCTCGGGATAGAGTCATCTTGTTGGGTGACTTCAATGCCCGAGTTGGTCATGATGATGGCACCTGGTCTGGAGTGATTGGAGAGCATGGGCCAGATCAGCTCAATAACAACGGTAGGAGGCTGCTAGATTTGTGTGCAGACCATGGGTTTGTAATTACCAACATGCTGTTCCGGCATTGGCGCATCCACACAACATCATGGATGCATGCCGGGTCCAAGCAAGAACATCTGCTGGACTACATAGTGACGGACCAGTGGATGCGAGTCCATGTCCTTGACACCAGGACCTACCGTGGAGCTGATCTGCCCTCTGACCATCGACTAGTCATCTGTAAGATGCGCCTGCCATTCTTCCACTCCGGTGGTGGGTGTACACCCAGGACCCCATTCAGACCATTGGTGGCATGGTCTTAGCTAGCTGATGAAAGTTGCAAGTGAGAATTTCATCATCGCTTGCGGCTGGGGTTGGCATCGTCCCCCACTCCTCCTGATGTCGAGGGTAAATGGGCGAGGTTTAGGACTGTGACTCATGCAGCTTCAATGGCTGCTTTGGGTACGCGGTCCAGACCTCCCCAGAGACCCTGGCTGACAATAGAGGTGTTCAGGATAGTTGAGAAAAAGCGACAGGCCCACTGTCATCGGCTACAGAATCCCACATCAGAGAATGAGGAGGCTTACCGCAGCCTTCGCTCGGAGGTTCGAAGAGCCGTGAGGTGCTGCAAGGATGGGTGGTGGTCGCGGGTTGTTGAGGAGATAGTCTGCCTCAGTGGCCCGCGATCACAAATCTCTATTTAACTCCATAAAAAAAATTACCTGCAGCGCCACACCTATTACCATCTTTAGGGGAAAAAACGGTGTTCCAATCTACGTACCCCAGTAACAGGTTTGCAGATTTGCTGAGCATTTCTGTGAGGTCCTGGGGGAGGGGAAACCCCTCAGCCAGGAAAACATCGTGGCACAAAGTGGGGATGACCCTGCTGAGGCTGCGGTGCTTCAAATATTGGAAGAAATCACCTCCTGTGAGTGGCTGGCTGAGGTGCCATCTGCTGAGGAAGTACTGAAGGCGATCCGGAGTCTGAGACCAGGAAAGGCACCGGGCAGAGATGACCTCCCAAGCGAAATGCTGAGGGAGGGTGGCGTTTGTGCACAGACTGCCCTATATGACATCATAACAGCAGTCTGGACCAATGAACAGGTTCCGCAGGATTGGAAGGATGCCCTGGTGGGTCCCCCTCTTAAAGAAGGGGGACCGCACAGACTGTAACAACTACAGGGGCATCTCACTCCTCAGTGTGCCGGGACAGGTCCTGGCAAGGATTATTCAACATCGCCTTGCCAGGCACGCTGAGGAGAGGCTTGCGGAGCCCCAATGCAGTTTCAGGAAAGGGCGGTCCTGCACAGATGCCATATTTTCTGTCCATCTGCTACAGCAGAGGTGTAGGGAATTCCAACAAGACCTACATCTCTGCTTTATTGACCTGGTCAAGGCCTATGATACCATCAGTAGGCCTAGGCTCTGGGTTGTTCTTCGTGCTTTTGGAGTCCCTGACCCCTTGCTCACGATCATTAAGGACCTTCATGATGGTGAGCGGGCCCGGGTAAAACTACGTGGCCGGGAGTCAGAGCCATTCCCTGTACACCTAGGGGTGCGACAGGGATGTCCTCTGGCTCCCACATTATTTAACATCTATTTTGACCACGTAGTTCGTGAAGCCTTCAATAGCTGTACCGGGAGACTCTCCATTTGGTACGGATATAATGAGAGGCTGATCGATGCCCGGGTGCGGTCAAGGGATGGCTCCCTATTATTCAACCACGTTATGTATGCCGATGATTTGGTAATAGCTGCTAATTCAGAGGAGGAGTTGGAGACGCTGCTGCTGAGACTGGAGCGTGCCACTAAGAGATGGGGCCTTACCATCAGCCCCACCAAAACTAAGCACCTGCCTGGGTATGTTGTACCATCGGACACTCCACCCCCACAACTCCCAATCGGTGATGGGGCAGTTGTGGAGAGAGTGGAGAGTTTCCCATACCTGGGCAGTGTGCTTATGACCGGCTCCAGTTTAACAGCAGAGGTCTCACTCCGAATCAGTCGAGCGGCAATATATTTTCATTGGTTGCATAACGCTGTGTGTAAGGAACCTGGTCTGTCGCTCCGCACTAAGCTTCAGGTCTTCTCGGCCACGGTCATTCCCTCCCTTCTCTACGCTTGCAAAACGTGGACCCCCTTAATGGAATATCTTCGCCGGTTAGAAACATTTAGGCTAGCATGCCTACGATCCATCCTGGGTTTAACCAGGCTGGATTGTGTGAGGAGCTCACAAATCCTTGAAATATCTGGGCAAGGTCCCATCGGTGAGCTCCTCCTGCAGGCAAGGCTGCGTTGGCTGGGTCATGCAGCCCGCATGCCCAGCCACCGCGTGCCGAAACAGCTTTTGTTCGGCCGGATCGAGGGGGCTAAACGGGCGCGGCACGGGCTAGAGAAGAGATGGAGTGATGTGGTACAGGAGGACGTGGAGCTGAGTGGACTTGCCGATGACTGGTACCAGCGGTGTCAAGATCGGCCTTTGTGGAGGAGGCTCGTGAAGGATGCTACTGGGCAGTTGGAGGCAGTCGCCCTCCAACAACAACGGAGGGCGGAGGAGCGACGCTCACAACAACGAGCGGAGCGCCGGGTAGCTAAAGCACAGCAGGTTGGCACAGTAGGGGGCACAGGTGGTGCATCAGCCAGTCATCTCAGTCATCTTAGTCAGTCGACCCGTGGCACTTGGGTCTGCCCCGTGACCTCCTGCCAGCGGGCGTTCGACACTTCACGTGGCCTCAAGGTGCACATGTCCTGGCACAAGCGTCGTGGTGACGTCACCGCCACTTAGTGGCGAATGGCGGTTGTTGTTGTGTGCGTGTAAGAGTGTGTGTGTGTGCGTGTAAGAGTGTGTGTGTGTCCGTGTAAGAGTGTGTGT